ATGGCCCCACAGCAGGAGCAGCCTCACAGCACGCAGGTAGCTGGCCGGGGAGAGGAAGCGGGCAGCAGGAGCCCTGGAACCCAGAGGACTGCGGCTTCCGTTCATGAGTTGGGAAAAAGTTTGCGCTGTTATCTGTCCGGTTCCACACTTTCTGTATACCCCTATAGCATCCTCTCTCCTAGGGCCTGATTTTGTTTCCCCCACACTGGGATCGAGCCCCTTAATTTCTTCAACTCCCTCCCTGTTCCATACAACCCAGGCATGTGCCCTGACCAGGAATCAAGACCTCCTGGTTCATGGGTCAATGCTCAACCACTGAGCCACACCAACCAGGCTCCCTTGTATTTTAATAGATACAGAGTCTCTGGATAGACCAGTGGTCGGCAAACTCATTAGTCAACAGGGCCAAATATCAACAGTATGATGATTGAAATTCCTTTTGAGAACTGAAAACCAACTTCTGCGCATGGGCCAGGAAGTTTCAATTGCACTGTATTGTGCGCGCCTGCACGTGTTAGTTTGTGGAAGAGCCACACTCAAGGGGCCCAAGAGCTGCATGTGGCTTACGAGCCGCAGTTTGCAGACCACTGGGATAGAGGAATGACAAGCCAGGGTCCCCCTGAGGAGAACGTGTCCTAATTGCATGCACAAGTCACAAATATTCTCTCAGTTTATCTAAGACTTCCTGGTGTGAGCAGTGATGCAGGACCATTCTATAATCTAAAATCTGCCCCCCCCCCCCCCAATTAACCACCCAGCATCTCCTCACCTTTCATTCTACTTCACTTTTTTCTCTTCTATTTTTGTTCGTCAAAATAGAAGTGGAACCATAGCCACAATTCTCAACCTGCGTCATCTCCTGGCCCACATAAGCGAATGACTACAATTCTGCAACATACCAAAAAAGGCATTTTCTGCCGATCTGACCAAAAAATAGGTGTGATTGTTATTCATTCACATCGGTGGCTCTTATTGTGTTGGCTGCTGTCATTTTTTATTTTATTTTTTAATTTGACAATTTAAGGGAAAAGAGGTCAGTGCCCCTAAGTGGTCAGGAATTGCATGTTTTAAAAATTATTGCGGCACATAGTTGAACATGGTTGTATTATGATATAGCCAGAAACTATCTTTGCCGCAACAGCCAAAGGGTAGTAAGAAATTACCCAGCTACAAATCAACATCCCAGCTTGTTTCCCAAGAGCAAAATGTCTGTCCTGAGGCAAGTGTCCTCCAACAGTGGGGCAAATGTCTGGGAAATGAGGAAACAATTTATTTTCAATTTAGCAATGTACAAGAATAATGTCAGGTGATAAATATGCTACAAGGTTGATAAAATATAAACACATGGCCTGAACACTTACAGGCCAGCTGAGTGACACCGGCATGTTTCAGAGGGGCAGCAATTTGAAAACACACCTGCTTTCCAGGAAAGACTTGATTAAGAGTTGAAGTCTTCAAACATTTCTATTTAGAATGTCAGTTTGATCATTATTTTTAGTCTATAGTCACAATGAATGACTAGTCTAAAATAAGGGCTGGTTTATTTTTAATCCCCAACAAAATGCCAAATGTTGGGGATTAAAAACATTGCTCATTAAACCCTAACCGGTTTGGCTCAGTGGATAGAGCATCAACCTGCGGACTGAAAGGTCCCAGGCTCGATTCCAGTCAAGGGCATGTACATTGGTTGCGGGCACATCCCCGGTAGGGGGTGTGCAAGAAGCAGCTGGTCGATGTTTCTCTCTCATCAATGTTTCTAGCTCTCTCTCCCTTCCTCTCTAAAAAATAAAAAAAATAAAAAATCAATAAAATATATTTTAAAAAAAACCCAACACATTGCTCATTAAAATTACAGTGAGACCCAGCTGGCAGACCCAGTTGAAGTATTCTGTCAGCAAAAAATAAGCTAAAAGAATTTTCTACTGGCAAAACTCTTTCACAAATGTTGTTGATATGCTGCTAGTTAGAACCTAATGTCTTAAGGCAGAATTTTATGGCTGGAGTGGACCTTAGAAACATCTAATCCAACTCCTCATTTTACAAATAGGAAACCTGGAGCTAGAAATTGAAGTTAGATTAAAAGCACCCGTTACTATTTGGATTAAGATTCCCAAGGGAAAAAAAAAAAAAAAAAAGAAACACACACACACAAAAGCAGGAAATGACTCCTCAGTACCTAATGCACAGCCACGCTTTTAATAGAAATGTGACCAGACTAGGAAGTTTTTAATATATCATTTCCTTTTTTGGCAAGGTTCAATGTTTTGCGGCAACACTTAATTTTTTTTTTCTGGTGAAAGTACGTTTATTATAGGAAATATAAAACATACAAGGATGCACAAAGAAAATAAGCCATCAAAAAGTTTCGAATATTTCCTTCAGACTTTTTGGTAGGCAACAAAAATAACCAGCATTTACTTTGTAAAGGGAAGGAGATGATTACTCCTTCTTTGACACACAATCACAGGGACAGCAGGGGGCTCTGGGGGTCCCTGCAGAGAGAGGGTGCTGCTGCAACCCAGACTGCCACCTCCCTAGTCGATGATCAGGGGGCACTGGGAAACAGGGTCTCTGCATGACCTTGATTTTCACTTAATTATTATTTTTTGTCAATCCTCACCCGAGGATATTTTTCCATTGATGTTTAGAGATTGGAAGGGAAGGGAGGAGAGACACAGAGACACGTCCATGTGAGAGAGACACATTGATTAGTTGCCTCTTGCATGGGCCCTAGGGCCGGGATGGAGCCTGCAACTGAGGTACGTGCCCTCGACCGGAATCAAACCACCACCCTTCAGTCTGTGGGCTGATGCTCTCTCCACTTGAGCCAAACGGGCTAGGGCTTGATTTTCATTTTAAAACAGGAACCCACCGGAGCAGGAACCTACATGTGGGGTGGGGAGGGAAGGTAGAGAGATAAGCAAAGATAAAGGTCAAAGTGACTTTCCAGTCCGGCTCTGCCTGGAACCGAAACCTTTTTTCTCCACAAAGCCTCCTTACTTCCTCTTGAAATTGTGGCTGATCTTTTATTTTTTTTTAAAATTAATTAAGTTTATTGTGGTGACATTTGTTAATAAGATTATATAGGTTCCAAGTGTAGATTTCTATGATACAGGATATGCGTCCTGTGCCTATCGCTATTCCTTTGGCTCCCTTTCCTCTTGGCTGCTTCCCCACCCCCTTCCTTCTGGTAACCACCATACTGCTGTCTGTCTGTGCGTTTGTTTTATAGCCCATGCAGAAGTGAAGTCATAGCTTTCTCTGAGGCTGATCTTGAACACTGATGGTCCGGGGTCTCTGACAGGGCTTCTCAGGAGAGACAGTACCATCTCTCATGGCCACACAACGTTCAACAACCTTGTGCAAACTATATAGTGTGGGGTCCTCTTAGATTCCCCTTTTTAGATATTTTTATTATGCACCACATAATATACTGCATGCTATGTACTACACTTCCAGCAGGGGTAGGTCAGCATAGCTGAGTTATTCTTCATCAATCGGGAAAATGTTTCCTCAATCAGTGCTTTCTGAACTCTGTGACACATAGCGACAATTCACTTCAGAGACACACCCCTCTCTGTCCCACAAAATCCACTGATAGCAGTAATAGCAACCCTCTCTCCCTTGCCCCGGTTAGTGAAGCTGTGGGTGTGCGCTGGGGGGGTGGGTAAGCATGCACCCATGGTGGCGATCTAGAGGAGAATCTTGAACCACATTGTGGCAAGGTCTTAAGGCCCTTAGAATCCTGAGAAGAGCCCATACGAGTTGGAGGACACCCTGGCAGCTAGAAGGCACCGTGACACTAACACCTACAGGCCTTTAACAGAATGCAATAGCACAGAAGTCATGTTAGCCACTTTAACAAACTCTCCATGATCCTGCTCAGGTGTGAACTGTTGGGCTAAGGCGACTGCTCAAGCTAAGTCCTGATGTCACACTATGATGTCCAACCTTCGTTTGGTGACTGCTCAGGTAGCACCGATGACCTCCCAAGTATTAAGGAATTTTGCTCTTTGACAGTCAATTTTATCCCACTTAACTCAACCAGGGGGTGTTGAGAAAAGCTGAAAAGGTCTGGTTCAAACAGCTCTTGTCACCACCACGGAGAAGCCATATTAGCTGGCTAGCTGAGCCATTTTAAGTTGTTACGTTGGCAATGATGTGTCCTATAAGCCTTAAGCGCCAGAGAACGTCGGAGGGGCTGTGGAGCTCACTCTGCGTTGAATAGACATCAAGGGGTTTACATCTTCACACTGAGCCCTGGCATTCTAGACTCTGCAAATGCTACTTTGTAGCCTGGAAGAAGGAAGCAAGTGGGGAAGAAGGAAAGGCTTTAAGATTTCTTCAACAGACATGTTCACACTAAGAAAATAAGGTGAATATTCAGGGTTTAAACTAGTCCCTGAATAGCCTGAGTTACACCCCAGAGGGAAATGGGGTGAATGAGAACTTTTTTTTCCCAAGGACTCGAGTTCACGTCCTCTGAAAGCTACTGGTGGTCAAATAAAATGAGAACTCAACGTTATAGTAGCAACTTCTCACTGGCACCAGCGCAAGGCGGTAGTGATTCTCAAGTTTAATATATTACATACAATACTAGAAAAATAAGCTAAACTCTTAAGGCACGCCCATTACTATTAAAAGGGTTGAGCTTTGCTACCCCAGCCACAGGCTTTTGACAGAACTTTCTGGAAAAAAGGCCCACGAAGGCACAACAAAGAGGTATACTAAGGACAGGTAGCTGCTACCATGTGTCATGGGTACTTCAGTAGTAACAATCCTGAAAGAGCATGGAACCCGGAGATCCCAGGGAAAAACTGCTTTAGGCATTTGTAACAGAAACAAGTACAAGTGACAAGAGCGACCTCCCTCATCGCATTCGCTGGTGGGTATTCCATTTCCCCCCTCTGCTTTTGCTGTTTACATGTTGTTATTGCAAACGGGGCGAGAAAAGGCTGTTTTCTCCGGGAGGCTTTTAGAAAACAGACGGACGAGGGATGCTATACCCCCGCGTCCGTGCTCCGAGGCTGGAAACCCTCTCTCCGAAGGCTGCCCATGTCAAAGCGAGGAGAGACCTCACAGCGTACAACCAAAGTGTCATCCTTGATGAAGGTTCTCTGTCGTAGGGCTTCCAGATGCATGAAGGTCACGTAGCCAAAGCCTTTCGGGTTCCGCGGGATCGTGGGTCTCTGGAAGGCAAGCAGCTCCGGCTTGGCATCCATGATCTCCTCGTGGTTTTGCCTGATAGGCGCTTCGGACTGATCGAGAATCGTGAGGCGGATGGTACCCTGGAAGGGCCAGGGGAGGTGGCTGTCGTACTCCCCTTGCATCGTGTGGACAAAGAGGGAGATGTAGTTGGCGCAGCGCTGGGCAGTGGGTAACTGCAGGTGCAGGCGCATGCAGAGTTTGTATCCGGGTTTGCCTGTGTAGAAGCCAGGGCTGTGAATGACCACGGGTTTCTCCTCTTCCTGGGATTTCAAGTGCATCCCGAAGTTGCCAATCTTCCAGATGTAAATCCCGTTGCACTGCTGTGCTTCTATTTCGGCGACCTTGTCCTCCAGGGTTCGGATGGTTCGTTTCAGCTCGCTCACGTACGTGCTCTGAGTTTCCATCTTCGCAGTCAGCTCCCGGATCTGATGGTCCTGTCGGACGAGGCGGCCCTCCAGCTGTTGAATGATTTCTTGGAAGTTGTAGACCTCTGGGTTACACCCAGAGGAGACCCGGGACAGGGACGCAGGCTCGTATCGCTGCGGCGCGGGAGCCACGGCCAGGTTTAAGCTCTGAACGGCCTGGGCCAGCATCCTCATGTGGGACTGGGTATTCTCTTGGAGGTGGCGTGCCAAGTGAATCCTCTGCATCTAAAAAAACCAAGCACAAGCCTTAGGCTGGCAACGGACACTGGGGGCTGGGTAAGGGGCCTGGCCACGCCAAATAAAAGGTTCTCAGTGACGTCACCATTTCTCTCAATCCCCTACAACCTTCTTTGTCTCCATATTCTCGATCCTATTGTTACTGGCCAGGGTCTGAGCCTGGGATGGGTCTGGCGGTAGTGTGTGGGCTCCTGATTTTGTGTAGGAAAGATTTCACAGCATGAGTCCAGGTGGCTTTTGAGAGGATGTTTATTCAAGCTGGGGCCAGTAAGGTAGAAGCAAAAGGAGAAAAAGTCAGAGAAGAGGGGTTTTGGAGACGGGTTCAGGAGGGTAGCCTGGGTAGAGCTGCCGCTGCCCACCGGTTCCCTGGTTGCAAGTCTCATGGGGACCCTTAAGAGTGTAGGAGAAAAACAGCAAAGATACAAGGTGTGTGGAAGCAACCTGAGAGAGCCCAGATGGGGCTGCTTAGGCTGAGAAATTAAAGTCACAGTGACAGAGTAAGCTCACCGGGCAGTCAGAGAAAATGGGGGCCCAATGACAGGGTCAAGAGGTAAGCCTGGGACGAGCTGCCACTGCCCACCGCTCGCCTGGTACAAGTCTTGTGGGAGTCCCTTGAAGCTTAGGAGCTGCACGCCTGTGGAAGAAGTTGGGGAAGGGAGAGGTATGGGCGTGCTCCTGGGAGGGAAAGCCTGCCACATCCTTTGTCTTGAGGTTTTTATTTAATCTCTCTTTGGCCGATGGAATCCTAGGGGAGGTCTTTGGAAGGACTGAACAGATTATTCATTAGCTCTTCAGATGTGTCCCTCAATATGTTGATTCACCAAAATGTGTGTGTAAAGGGGCTAGGGTTATTTTCTGATTAGTTTTATGAATGTATTGAAGAGGGATTGGGACCAAGGCCAGTCTAGAATGTGTAAACCATTTGCTCCTAAGTACCCTTGGTTAAGAAAGAAAACCTTGCCAGGTACCTCCATTTTCACTAATATTCTCCACTGTACTACATAACTGAATTTTCTTGATCTATATTCAAGAGTCAAAAGAAAAAAAAGAAACACCTTACCTTTTCATTGCAACCAAAAGAACTGAAAGTGCATGGAATTGGGGCTGTAGGACAGTCCAGGTCAAAATGATTAGGCATCTGAAAACCAAAGCAGAAGGTGAAAAATGTTCCTCACTGCATATCATGTTCTAGTTTGATAAGGTCACACTTGAAATAAAGGTTTACATTTCACATGAACAAAATCATGTATTATCTGTGGCCGTCTCTGCATCGCAATGGCAGAGTTGATTAGTTGCAACAGAAACCAGGTAGCCCACGAAGATTAAAATAATGTTTACTTCCAAAAGTCACAGAGAAAAGGAAATACCAACATTACATACAACCCCCCCCAAATCACTCAAAAGGCAATTCAAGAAAAATGAATTTGTTCCTGTTGCTGGGAACTGGAACGCGATAGTGGCATTTTAAAGAAAAAACACCTTCTGTTGTCAACCTCAACTGCAAACTTCCCCAGGACTCTCACTGAGGCCCAGGCCATTTAATAGGGACCAGCTAACGATGCACATTAAAGCCCGGACTGTACCTGGTACTTTCCCCATGACTGCCTTTCACAAATTTTGCCCTTTGTTTTTTTTTCTTTTTCTTTTTTTAATGTATTTTATTGATTTTTTACAGAAAGGAAGGAAGAGAGAGATAGAGAGCTAGAAACATCGATGGGAGAGAAACATTGACCAGCTAGCTGCCTCCTGCACACCCCCCACTGGGAATGTGCCAGCAACCAAGGTACAATGCCCTTGATTGGAAACGAACCTGGGACCTTTCAGTCCACAGGCTGACGTTCTATCCAATGAGCCAAATCGGTTTCGGCGAATGTTACCCTTTGTTAACCTGGGCACGTTTTGGCTACAATGGGAGACTCAGATATTAGCAAGTATTTAATAAGCACATTCATAAAAGTTCCAAAGAATGTGTCAGCTTTTGATTGGGGGATTCTAAAAACACCTTTTAAAGTAAGATCCATTATGGAGAATCATATTTGCAACTGGTGACCAAATTCCCTTTAGAAATTTAGGTTAGCTATAGTCATAGATATTTCAAGCAGAGATTGTATTAGAGACCCTTTAACTCCATCTTTCAATTTTGCATCATCCAGAACAGCGGACAGCAAAATTTCTTATAAAGGGTCAGATAGTAAATATTTTCAGCTTTGTAGGATCTATGGTCTCTGTCCCAAGTACTCACCTCTGTCACTGACTGAGAACACCAGTCACAGATGACATGCAGACACCTGGCATGGGTGTGTGCCAATACAACTCATTTCTCAAAGCAGGCAGCGGGCCAGATGGGGCTGGCAGGCTGCTCTGCTGACCCCTTATCTAGAATTTCAACTTTCTTGCTAGAGATCAGTGGCAGGTCAGTGGCACAACCAGGGTCAAAACCTAGGTTTCCTGTTAACCACAGATTTTTTCCTACATTAAGTTTTATTTTATTTTTCAGATGTACTGCATGGTTTCCTTTAAATATTATAGCAGAGCAAAAAGAAAAACTAGGGAGGTGAGGTTTCATAAGCAAAACAAAGTTTAACACCTTCACATGAAGACTGTTGGAAAAAAACCATTGGACTCTGTTTAGATCAAATGGAAAAGTTTAGTGGAGTGACAGGTTTTGCTTGCTTCTAGTTAGTAAGGTAATCAATTATGCTCTCTGGGTTTGAAGACTTCATGGGTGTATAAATAGTGACTAATATTCAAATTGTGTGGGTAAATTCTCCAAATGTCAGAAGCTATCAATCAGATGGAATTTTCCTATCTCTATTAATGATGTAAATGCAGTTTTCTACTGTCACTGCAGCTGCCACGGCAGACCCATCAGTGTCTATAGGACAATTGAACAGAGGGGTACAGATCTTGCGAGTCTCAGAATCTCCCAATGTGTCCCAAGGGCCATGGGGACAAGTAATGATCTACCACTGGACAGACCTGCTCTCCTCTATCTCACTGTTCTTTTGGCTAGTTTCTGGAAACCTATGACCCTATTTCAGAGATCATAATAATCTGGCCACTCGGTGTATATATTTATACACCGAGTGGCCAGATTATTACCATCACTGAACACATAATAATCTGGCCACTCAATGTTTCCTATATAATAAAAGGCTAACTGTCCCCTTGACCAGGAGTTCAACCAGCAGGCAGGCCAACCAACCCACCCGTGCACAAATTCATGCACTGGACCTCAAATATATATATTTGTAGTCGCCAGATTATTATGTGTTTAGAGATCATAATAATCTGGCCACTCAGTGTATTTAAGATACATGTTTTTTCCTTTAAATGGGAATTTTGATTATTTGTATCTTAAAATTACCTGATTTTGTCTGGAACTTGTATAAATATACATAAACATGGAGATTATATTAATGACTTTAAGTACTTAGAGAGAGCTGAATATTTGTTTTTCTAAAATAATCATATTTATTAATTTTGAGAAAATTTTTCATAGTTCTAACACTTCTTCAACCTGTATTCACTTTGCTATATTGATTTAATTAAAAACCAAACTCACTCCTTTAATCTATTATGGAAATATTAATTCATGAAAAGAAATCATTATACCTGTTCTCTGATGAGCATGGTACTGCAGTATTCACAGATGACATTTGCCAAAGGACAGCTCTGGTCATGCATCTAAATTTTAATAGAAAAATATAGGAGAAACATTTTTATAAAGGTAAATTTTCACTATAAATAAAGGACATCGATGTATGTTAAATAAAAATGTGAGAATAACATGGAAAGGTTGTTTTCTCTCCCTCTGCTAGTATAGTAAGTAATGAGATACATCTTGCATTTCAGCACTTTAAAAAGAATATAGCACACAAAAGGGAACCTTTGAAATCACTTCTTTTAACCAGAGGCAGAGATTCTGTGACTAGTTTGGACATCTGGCCAATACTATATCTAATTCTATCTCTTAGGGGGTGAGAGAACAGAGCACTATTAGGGCAGATTCTCACAGGCCCTGGAAGGATGTGCTTTCAGATTACCTCCATTTAATTTACTGAAGTTTAGGAAAACATCAGTTTGTTCTAGGGATGCCTCAGCTTTCTCCCCATTTTTAGGAAGTCAGCTGATGTTTTTTGAATATCTCATCAACTTAATGAGTATAACATGCTTGATTGCATAAGAAAGTAGGAAAAATTACCAAGAACAAACTTACAGTAGAACCTCGGTTCTCGAACTTAATTAGTTCCAGAAGGAATTTGTTTGAAAACCAAATCATTTTTTCCCATTAGAAATAATGTAAATTGAATTAATCTTTTCCAGACCCCCAGCTGGTTCCATTTTAACCTTTCTTACATCCAATACGTGCCTAATGTACTGTTTAATCCATAAATACACTGCTTTTCTTAAATCTATGGAACAATCCCTACTAGTCTTAAAGGAATCACTTTTAGCATTGGGTCCAGGATGTCTTTCAGGTCAGCATGCAGCATCTTTGCTGGTTCAGTTTTTCTTCCTTTATAATTGACTGTGATTAGTTTCTTTCACACCCTTAGCAACATTAGCACTCTTAATAAGAACTCTTTATGTTTTAAAGTTGTGCTAATTGTTGATTTCTGCCAGCAAAAGCAGTCTCTCCTCTGTGGCCTGGAAGACACTTTCTGTCATGCTGAGGGATCGGCATGAAAGTGTTGTCAGGTTGGAAACTCAAGTTTGGTTTCACATCCCAGACAATTTTTCTGTGAACAACTTGGTCAAGAACCCAACTGTTTTGAGATGAGAGATGTTTGAGAAACAAGGTTTGACTGTGTAAGAAATAAAGTTTAAGGAAGTATGTTAATAGTTATATGAAAAAAAACTGCTCTATCATCATGATGTTGTCAGGTGCCATGAAGTTTTTTTAAATTTATTTTAAAAAAATATATTTTATTGATTTTTTACAGAGAGGAAGGGAGAAGATAGAGAGTTAGAAACATTGATGAGAGAGAAACACTGATCAGCTGCTTCCTGCACACTCCCTACTTGGGATGTGCCTGCAAGGTACATGACCTTGTCGGGAATTGAACCTGGGACCCTTCAGTGCACAGGCCTAGTCACTGAGCCAAACTGGTTAGGGCTGAATTTTTTTTTTTTTTTTTTTAATGATAACATTTTAATTGAAGTGTAACATATTCCCAGAAAAGTGAATTCATTATATGTGCATAGCTCAGTGATTTATCACCAAAAAACACACGTTGTGAGATTTAATTTATTCTCCATAAAAGTTTTAAGATCCCATTAAGAGTAAAGCCTTATTCTTATACAGTCATCATTCTACTTGTTTGTCTCTCATCCAAGACTGGTCATTAAAATATCACATAAAAAAGTAGATCAGCTTGTCTTTCCTGGAAGGCTTTGTTACCTGCAGATCTACTATGGTGGTGAGTGGTATAAACAATGTTTTTTAAGGAAGATATACAGCCTGACCAGCGTGACTCAGTGGTTGAGCACTGACCTGTGAACCTGGAGATCACAGTTTGATTCCCTGTCAGGGCACATGCTGGGATTGCGGGCTTCATCCCCAGTATGGAGTGTGCAAGAGGCAGCTGATCAATGACTCTCTCCCATCAATGGTGTTTCTCTCTCCCTCCCTCTCACTTCTTCTCTAAAATTAATAAAAATTATTTTTAAAAATGATTAAAGATGTACAAATATAAACCCTACATTTAGACACTATAATGGTTAACTGAGCTTTCTTTCTTAAAAATCAATCTTCCCACAACTGATAATATAGACTCAGAAATGGAATAATATCCTCATCTACTGTGAAGCCCTTAACTGTACATAAAAACAAATTAAGAAGAAGTGAAATTAAGAAATCCAAGTAGTACATGCCTCTTTATCTTCAAATGCCATTGACATAGCGCAGTTCTTACAAGAAACCTGTCTTCTTGGACACTCCTGGAGAATGTGAGTGTTAAGTTGGCACTTCTGTAACGGACAGTTGCATTGAAGACAATTTGTAAGAGCAAACTCACAATGCACTTGATGATCCTGTAACAAGGAAAAAAAAAATTGATTAGCATCTGCTAATCTTTAAGAAATCTCCTAAATATAATCTCTTCTGAGGATATGCTTGTTCTCTTTCAAAACAGCTATTCCTTCACAAGGAGCTAAGTAAAAAAGGCAGGTTACAAATATGTTTTAAACACTTAATTTCGAACAGATCATAAATGATATTTAATTTCTCATAAAACCACCAAGCTAAAAATGAATTTATTTAATTTAAAAGCAAATATTTTTACCTGATTCCTTCAGTTCATCTCAAGTTATAGAAAGACTCCATTTAGTTAATAATAAAACACAATTCAGAAAAAAAGAGAAGTAGGAGGGTACTAAGATGATGGCTATGAGACTTGCTGCTTATTTCAAAATGAGAAAAATAGCTCTGGCTGGGTGACTTGGTTGGTTGGGCATCGTCCCATACAACAAACGGTTGAGGTTTGATTTCCTAGTCAGGGCACATATCTAGGTTGCAGGTTCGATCCCCTGTTGGAGCACATACAGGAGCCAACCAATCGATGTTTCTCTCTCTCACATTGATGTGTGTGTGTGTATGTGTGTGTGTGTGTGTCCTTCTATCCTAGGGTGAGGATTAAAAACAAAAAGATAGAAATAAGTGAAGTTATGGGATTGAAATGTGAGACTTATATTTAAAATGCTCTTCAGTATTATAGTTAATAATGTTCACGCCAAAACTTAAAGAATATTGATTTTTTTATTATCATTTGGCAATGCCAGAGAAAATGGAATAAGAAATTTTTGTTTTCTACTTGTATCAAACTAGAGGCCTGATGCACAAAATTCATATAAGGGGCTTGGCCCTTGCATCCTCGGTAGCTTCCCTCGGCCTGCGCAGCCCCAGTTTCATCCAAAAGGACATCTGAAAGGTCGTTCGGCTGTCCAGTCTAATTAGCATATTATGCTTTTATTAATATAGATGAGGAAAGGGTTGGTATCTTACTAAGCAATCAATTATATGCTAGGAGCCAACAGTACACTGATGGACACAGCTAAGTCTCTATTCTCTGGGAACTGCCTTGCCTATCTGCTAATAAGGCCAAGAAATAACTTTAATACCTCAAGATGCCGCAGTTCCATCTTGTGCATACAACCTTCATTTGGACACCTCACCATAAGAGAAAGAATCTCTCGTTTTGCAAAATTGTCGGGAAAGAGTTGAGTTTCCAGCAGTATTTCATTATCAATAGGACATTTGTGACCTGCATCCCTGAAGAAACAAATAAGATACATACATTTAATAGATTTAAACAAATATTAACATTAAAAAATACAAACAACTTTTACAGGTTTTAACTCACCACATATACATTCTCCATTTACTATTTCCTATGGAAAATAATTTAACACATTATATTTTATAATATTACTTTCCCTCCACCCAAATAAAAAACCAACACCTGTCCTTTTATGGACAGTTCATGAACTGTTCTTTTATGCAATGAATACAATTAGTACCATATTGGTGATCAATAAAAAACTATGGGATTTTACTTTTAAATTTATTTTTATTTTAAATATTTTTATTGATTTCATGAAGGAAGGGAGAGGGAAAGAGAGATAGAAATATCAATGATGAGAGAGAATCATTGATCTGCTTCCTGCATGCCCCCTACTTGGGACTAAGCCTGCAACTCAAGCATGTGCCCTTGACCGGAATTGAACCTGCGACCCTTCCCTCCACAGGCCGATACTCTACCAATTAAGCCAAACCAGTTAGGGCCAAAAAAAAAACAAAAAAAACTATGGGATTTTAGACTGTGGGATATACAACAACAACAACAAACAACAACAACAACAAAAAAAAAAAAAAAAAGAGAGAGAGAGAGAGAGAGAGAGAGAGAAATTAACTGAATAAAGTCCTATTTTGATTGTCCTTAAATGAAGTCAAGTTAAGGATGGAGATTTTGCAGTCTTGCAGGACTCTGTTCTGTCAGCAGCTACACAACATGCTAGTGAAATAAACTAAATATGCTGCTCGTAATACCAATAACACTTCAATAGCTCATGGACAACCAAAGTTTTCCTTTGTTTAGGGGACAATTTAGTAGCGAATTAAAGGATCTCTTTCCTCCTTCCCAGTGGTTTCCTAGTGGTTACTTCATTTATGATGAGAAAAACCATCCCCAGGAAGTTCCATTGTCTGTCTCTTCCCTTTAACTTTTTGGGGTGTCTAAATCTTCACTCACAAAATGTGGCAGGTCAGGTAGACTACTGAACCATTAATCAATCACTCAAACCATTTGCTGAGCAACTCCTGTGTGTAAGCCACAATGGAAATTACCTAGGTAAAAAACGGGTCTACAGTGAAATGCCTTAGAACTAATAAAGGTGAGAGAGAGAGCCAATCTTTAATGAGGCTTCTGTCAGAATAATCAGAAGGGTCGCAGGTTAATAATTAGTACAGTCAAATCTCTTATGAGAAGCAAAGGACACGATAAACAAATTTATTGACATATATACCCAAGATCTAAGTTATGGATGTCAAAGAGAAAATAAACAAACTTACAAAGTACACTGGAAACCATTATCCACAGCAAATGGAACTTGATTAACATGTATTTTGATTTCCTGGATGATTATAACGGATGAGAAAGTTTGAAGCCATTCTCTTAAGAACATTAGACTCAAAGTAAGCGATCATTTCTAGCTGAGAGGGAGGTAGGAAAAGAAAGCCTCAGACTTCCTTTTGTGGGTTTTACTTCCTTTTAAGACCACTGTCCATTACTTTCGTGAACATCTTGCTATTAAAAAACTGCTAAAGATGATCTTCCTGGCCATGTGACACTTAATAAAATATTCCACATCTCTCTATCTACAAAAAGTCAGTGATCCATAATATGGTACATACGACCTATGAAGACTAAATCACGAAGAAACAGAAAATCTGAGCAGATAACGAGTATACAGAGTAAATCAGTAATCACCTCCCAAAAAACCTACACCCCTCCCAACCTTCCAACCAACAAAAGTCCAGGGGCAGATGGCTTCACTGGTGAATTCCACCAAACATTTAAAGGAAAATTAATACCCACTGTTCCTAAAGTCTTCCAAAAAAATGGAAAAGGAAAGAACACTTCCAAACTCATTTTATTATACTAAAGCCAGACAAGGACACCATGAGAAAAAAGTCCATTTAAAAGTTGAAAGAAAAATCTGCAAGATAGTAAGTAACCAGCTTTACCTACTTACAAATCATTTCACCAGTATAACTAGATGCTTATTTATTGAAGAACACAAAATCCTCACAATACTTCTTTAGTCACCTAAAATATTCCCATCTAGTTCTGAATTACGTAAAACGTATTTACTTCTTGGGAGATGAACTTGAGTCATCTGTGGAGCTCCCACATACCTTCATTCAGTTAAAGCAACCATGGCACTGAGTATGCTTCCGGGTGTCAGGCACTACTTCCGGCACATAGGAAATATCCAGAAATAAAATAGCTCTCACCCCCCTGCTCTCAAGGAGCTTATTTCTAACTGGGTAAGAGAAGGTGGGAGTGTGGGGGGCGACAGAGGGGAGGCATGCTGTGGTATGAACAGGACAGCCAGGGCGCCTAAGAGAGGTGAGGTCTGAGCCACACTGGAGGAGTGAAAGATGTTAGCTAGAGAGAATGTTCCCCAGAGAGAAGAGCAAAAGCCGGTTACCAAGGCAGGAGCATGCTTGGCATGTTGCAGGAACAGCAGAGCGACTTGGCGGAAGGAGTGAATAGTGGTGGACAGGAAGTCAGAAAGTGGATTATGAACAGGGCCTAGCACGCAGATGACTTGCTGCAATGTTCTGAGCAGAGATGACCAGGTTCCCTCGGGCTGCTACCCTGAGGACGGGCTAGAAGGCAAGGGCTCTGAGAAGCAGGCCTGCGACTGAGCTGATGGGGAGATGGAACAGGATGGCAGAGGTGGAGGCAGCGAGAAGGGACTGAATTTTGGATATATTGTAAAGGTAGAGGCATTGACTGATACTTTCTTTAAAAATACTGGTTATTTTACTTTTGTTCATAGGTATCAGATAAAAGACAGAATTTAATGTGGCTAAAGCCATCACTGATCGATTATAGAGTCAGCATTCTTTGTATGGTTGTGCTGATCATACTCTACTATCATTTAAGATGTACTTATTTTATGTTATTTCCTTTTAAAAAATATTTTTATTGGTTTCAGAGAGGAAGGGAGAGATAGAAACAACAATGATGAGAGAGAATCATTGATCGGCTGCCTTCTGCACACCCCTCACCGGGGATCAAGCCCACAACCCAGGCATGTGCCCTTGACCGGAATCGAACCTGGGACCCTTCAGTTTGCAGGCCGACGCTCTATCCACTGACCCAAACCGGCCAGCGCTTATATTATTTTCTTAAAGCATAGAGAACTTATTTACCTGGGGATCAGAGGAGGGTAGAAAACCGACACTGCCTTTCATACCACAGTAGGAACTAGGGGAAGAATGCAGATGTCTCAAGCTTCTGGTCCAGTGATCTCCCTCCTCGAGTAGGTGTGTACATATAAGACTACTCTGGGGATGCCCGTGTCCTGTGGACTATCGCTCTCCGTATTTGGTTCTGTCAGAGGACGCACTTCTGTCTTATGCTCACGTACCTTATGGACTTGGTGATGCAGGCTTTGCAGAACCTGTGGCCGCATGGTGTCTGCACTGGTTCCCGTAACGCCATCAGGCAGATGGGGCACTCATACTTGCTTTCCAGGGGCGGGTCAAACTCCACGTCGTAGCCCTGGATCTCTTCCATCAGAGAGCTGGAGAGATTCCCTGCGCTGGCAGCGGCGCCCACGCTGTCCTCCTTGGCTGCCGCGCCGCAGGAGCTGGCCATGGCTGCGCAGCAGTCGCTCTCAGACTGGCTGGAAGCGCAGCTGGTCTCACAGTTTAGCAGACTCATAGTAACGAGCTTATCAACCACTCTGTAAAAATCGCGAGAAAAAAAAATGCCTTAGCGTGCATACACATACTCAGTAGCTTATAGAGGCAGGTCACCTCTTTGTTGATATAGAAAAGCTGCATTCATGTTATGTATGGAAAACTTTTCAAGTTTTGGGAGCTTTACTTCATGACTAGTATCTATAATAAGTTAGGGAGTTCAAGATAGAATGTAATGTTAAAATTAAGACATGACCTCCATTGCAATGCTTAGCTATCTCACAATTTTGTTACAATTCTGTTTCCTGTGACTGAAGTCAAGAATTTGCTTTTCATATCCTTAGTACTCAGCACGCGATCTTTCACATAATATGTGTTCAGTAAGCATCTGCTGAAGAACTTAATTATCCTTGCTGAAGTTCCCACAAGTATCCTGAGCTGAAGGGAACAGTAGGACCAGCAGGCACTGCAAGGAAGAGCAATGTACAAGGGATTAGATCAGGGATGGGGAATGTCTGGCCCGTGGGCTGAAATTATTTGGTCTGGCCCTGCCAAGGCAACTGTAGGCGGGACTCGAAATGCAATATATCTAGGAGCTTCTTTCATTGCAACAGGAAGTTACATTAAGTGAATTATATTAAGCGAATGACGTTATAAATACCCAGATGGCCCTCAGCCGAAAAAAAAGGTTCCCCACCCCCGACTTAGATGGTCATGTGCAAGTATTAGGTGTGTGATTTGGTGCAATGTAACCATTTGGATCTCGGTTTCTTCTTCAAGATCTAAAATTCCATGAGTACTTCCCTAATGTCCAGTGAGGAGATTTCTATTGTGTAGAAAGAACAGAATTGAAAAAGTACAATTGTATGTCCTTCTGCCTTCAGGCCTGTCAAGTGACTATGTTTCATCACCTGACAGGAAAAACAGGCGATCTTTCCTTTGTCTGTGGAAAACTACTGGCTTCGTGGGTAGGTGGGATGTCTTCAAACTCTACATCCTATGACATTATTGAGTGAGAAACGAATCACGGCCTATTTTCTGCAGTAGACTGTGGAAAATTCCCAGTAGGTGCCAGATACAGTTCTAGAAACGGAATGCAAGCTTCGGGTCAGTATGGTGAACAACCATCCCCCCGGGTGGGTTGCAAAAGCAATCCATTTTGTTTGGCCACCACGGGTGTCTTTTTCTCCTGTTCCAAACGATTTTGATTTTGCATCCAGTCTGGGGAGCACCTACAAAGGCTGAGGCCCTGTTCCGGCTTGGCGGGGCAGGATGGCCAAGTGGTGAATGACTGAGAGGAACCAAGTGCCCGTATGTAGAAGCACTTAGCACTGTGCCTGGAAGTAAGAACAAGTCACTGTGATGTGCGGCTCTCTCGAGTAATTTGATGCAGTGATTTCATTGCCCCGTCCCCTTCAGCAAAATGGAAACCCTGAAGCTTAAAAAGGGGAAGTAAAACTTGTTGAGGACTATTCAACTAATCAATAACAGAGCTGGAATGAGAACCCAGGTCTACCTGACCCCAGAGGCTGTGCACTTTGTACCTACCATGTTCGCCTCTTGGAGCTGCGACAGATTTGTCTATAAAGCTGCATTTAAAATTTCTCTTTATTTTTATTACATTGACCCCAGCTTCTACAAAACATGACTTGTCTAGCGTTATCATGCTGGGTTGAAAGAATTTCAAAGAATCAATAGAGAAAAAACTGGCATTTTATTTTACCTTTGACATACTATTTTCGAAAAATTAAAAATAGCTGCCAGGCCCTGGCCGGTGTGGCTCAGTTGGTTGGAGTGTTGTCCTGTACACCAAAGGGTCGTGGGTTCAATTCCGGGTCAGGGCATATACCTAGGTTGTAAGTTTGGTATGGTTCCCGGTCTGGGCGAAAACAGGAGGCAACCAATTGATGTCTCTCTCTCTCTCTCTCTCTCTCTCTCTCTCTCATTCTCTCCCTCCCTCCCTCCAAATATCAATAAATATATTCTTTTTAAAAAATATATTTTATTGATTTCTTACAGAGAGGAAGGGAGAGGGACAGAGAGCCAGAAACGTCGATGAGAGAGAAACATTGACCAGCTGCCTCTTGCACACCCCCTACTGTGGATGTGTCCGCAACCAAGGTACATGCCCTTGACCAGAATTGAACCTGGGACCTTTCAGTCCGCAGACCGACGCTCTACCATTGAGCCAAACTGGTTTCGGCAATAAACATATTCTTGAGAGAGGGTTAAAACAAAAAATAAAAACTCCCAAAGTCTTTTTATAGCTAATGCGGATTCCGAGGGAAGACTTGGTACAGGCTGACAGGCAGCAAGGGATGGCAAGATAGTGGCAAACACAGAACCAGTCATGTGCTTGTGGTCCAGGATGGGGCAGAAGGCCCTGATTATACCCTCCAAACCTGAGGATGTGTGACAGTTATGCTACACTTAGGGCTGATAGCCTTTGCTGTTTTTCTTCCCATATACATTCTTGTGCCCAGTTACCGAGGTAAATCTCCTAGAAATAGAATTACTAGGTGAAAGGGTATGTAACTTTCTAAGGCAACCAATTGATGTCTGGTTATTCAATATGTATCAAAGGCTTTTTAATTCCCACTCTCCAAAAAATCGAGAGAGACCATTATACATACCCTTGACAAGTCTAGATATTTTTATCTTTTGGATCTTAACCACTTATTTTTTTTTTAAAGTAAGATCACTTTGAGAAATTAGTATTTGTTGCTTAGTTGTACATCAAATCAAAGAGCTAGTCAGAAGAAAAAAGCAACTTACTTTTTCTGCCCAACTGTTCAGTTTCAATTCAGTTTACTGGGTAGTCTATATATTGCCCTCTTGCAGTCCAGTTCGAAAGAATTGAAGGTATTTTGACTTAAAGAGAACTTTTATAGCAAATGTGTTAAGAAAACCTGCCAATCAATCACAATTCCTTAAAATGAATTCCACTGTAGGAATGCAGTGTTAAAACATGAAAGCGGGCACTCTAAAAATCTAGATGTATTTGATTTTCACATTGTTTTTCATGCTTTAAGAACTAACGCAGAGGCGAAACCGGTTTGGCTCAGTGGGTAGAGCATCGGTCTGCAGACTGAAAGGTCCCAGGTTAGATTCTGGTCAAGGGCATGTACCTTGGTTGCGGGCACATCCCCAGTAGGAGGTGTACAAGAGGCAGCTGATCGATGATTCTCTCTCATCGATGTTTCTAACTCTCTATCCCTCTCTCTTCATCTCTGTAAAAAATCAATAAAATAAAATAAAAAGAAGTAGCGCAGAAGCTCTATATCCTCCAAATAATTTTTTTTCCCCAGACAGTCACACTCTATGCCTGCAGTATATAGACCGACATGATTGTACTGCGAAGAAAAAGTTAAGCTAAAATAGTATTTTGAGAGCCATTTGGTATGTATGTTTACTCTTTCTTTCTAGCAAGTTAAAACATTTCCCCCTTTATTTGACAGACTGGGATGGCATACTGACTTCAGGGAAAGTCACTTTCCTAATTACAATCACTATTTTAATTAGCTTCGAGGGAAGAAAAAAGAGCTTTGAGTCCACTATAGACGTGAGTGGAACATGATCCGACACCCATGTGGAAAACATGCTCTTTTAGTTCTTTTTACTTCATATAGTGCCACGGATATCCACCTCATGAGCGGCTCACGAGCTCTGAAAGACGACAGGGGTGGGGCCGTGTTATAGTAGAGCCAGAGCAATCATTCCAGGAGAACTCTCCTGGTGTCTTGTGTTTCTTTATCTTCCAAACTTCATATTCCACCTATTAGTGTCTGGGAATATATTATATAATAGTGGCCCTTTGCATGCAATTCGTGCACATTAAAAGGGAATTAGAGGAGATATGTTAACATTGCCATTTGCCCTTTCTCTATAATAGAAGTGTCAGAGATGAAAGAAAATCAGTAAAATGTATATGAAAATCTCCCTCCTGTCAGGGTCTGGCATGCGCTGCGGGATGCAGAGTCAAGTCCCTGCCCACCCATGTGTGCCTCAATATCGCATGAGACCCTGACCGGGCAGGCCCAATCACAGCAAGCCCCAGGTCCCCCGTCAAGCCTCATCAGGTGGGGGGCGCAGCCTCAGGTCCCCTGGCCCAGCCTCAGGTGTCTTCCTCCCCAGGGTGAGGGCAGGAGTGTGTGATGACCATTTGCATATTAGCTCTTTATTATATAGGATTATAATCCAAAGAGAATACTAACTGTTAAATGTTTTGGGGGATGGGGAGTACGGTGATACACAAAAACTGTTTCCCTAAGATCAACAGGTGCCAATGAGAGAAATGTCTAAGCTCGAGAAATCAACAGGTCGTACTGTGAACTGGTCAATTTTAAGTCAGCAGAAATTCATTCCTGGCTAAACATATGACTCATCAAGTAAAACCACGTAAAACAAACGGATCACGTATTGCAGAGATGTACACCCGAAACCTACATAATCTTACCAACCAGTGTCATCCCAATACATTTCATTTAAACTATTTTTTTTTTTTAAAGAAAAAGAAATGCCTTTGATCTGCTGCTAGCTTTAGGAAACACGAGGAGGGCACTGCTTTACTAACTCCTTACAAATCTCTTCTTAAAATGCAGAGACCCGCAGATGCAAATGCTGACCAAATAGGTCAACAATCTTGATTTTGAATACAGATTCAAGGGGCAGTCCCCTCCCTCACTCTGCACTGTTTGTTCACACAGTTTCTTTCAAAATCCCACGGGCCAAAAATGGATTGGCACCTTGATCACACAAAAGACCCCCCAAGAGGCAATCCTGAAATACCTACCGCCAACTGTATACATTCAGCCTGTGCAGGCTGAAGCTCGGATCGTCACGTGGGCACCCGGGGCCTGACCTGCACGTCTCCCAGGCGTGAGGGAGTCCTCACCCCGCCCCCATCCTCAAGTCAGAAAAGCCCCTCCGCCTTCCCCGGTAATAGCAGGGGCACGGATCCAGCGCCAGGGGCCAGGTGCACGGGCCCCACACGTCGCCTTTCTCCGCGGGTTTCTCCGGCTC